TTGCAAAAATGTCAATTTTTTTAAATAATAAGGCAGTCATTTGCACATGAATTTTACAATGTCTAAATATTCAAAACAGTAGAAAGAAATATCACAATTTTACTAAAAGCAGAAATATCACATTTATTTCTAACAATAGACAAGAAAAATAAATAAATTTATTTTTTTAATTTACAGCATTCAAAATTTCTAACATAGATAAAATATCACAATTTTTATTAAGAAGATTATTTTTCAAGATAATGAGGTCACGTGCACATAAAATTTATCGCACCTAAAATTCATGATAATAAGCAGAAATAATTATTTCATTTCATTTTTAAAAAGAATGGATTATTTTTCGAGACAATGAGGTTACTTACACATAAAACTGATAAAATAAAGATCCTAGACGGAAATATCACTATTTATTAAAAATAGACTATTTTTCAGGAAGACGATGTCACTTACACACAAAACTTATAAAATAAAGATCCTAGACGGAAATATCACTATTTATTAAAAATAGACTATTTTTCAGAAAGACGATGTCACTTACACACAAAACTTATAAAATAAAGATCCTAGATGGAAATATCACTATTTATTAAAAATAGACTATTTTTCAGGAACACGATGTCACTTACACATAAAACTTATAAAATAAAGATCCTAGATGGAAATATCACTATTTATTAAAAATAAACTATTTTTCAGAAAGACTCACTTACACACAAAACTTATAAAATAAAGATCCTAGACGGAAATATCACTATTTATTAAAAATAGACTATTTTTCAGAAAGACGATGTCACTTATCCACAAATACTTGAGAAGGAGCTTCCGATAAAAATTCGACTAGAGAGAGGAGTTCACTGTGTTTCGACCAGATAAAAAAATCTCATAAGTTTTCTAAGGTAGGAGTCCTCATCTCTCTGAATTTAAATTCTACTAATATATTATTTTATTCTTTTATTATGTTATAGGTGTGAGCGTTCGTTTACGCTTTAAACGACTACAGCCCACGTCCTTTAGTGGACGTGGCAAGCGCAAAGAACCAACGTGGCAAGCACAAAGAAGCAACAAAGCTTTTAAACAAAAAGCTTTGAAAAGTAGAGATGGTCCCTAAGGACCATTATGTTCAAACGAATCATCACGTATTAAAAATTTATTTTTTTTTTTATTTTATTTTTTTTTTTATTATTATTTTTTTTCAAAAGTTTAAGATTGTTACAGTAGATCTTTTATGTTGTAGGGAAAGTATAAAAACCTTTTCTTAAAAAAAATCTCATGAAGTCCTCACAAAAAAAATCTCACCAATTATTACGTAAAAAAGACGAGTCCACAAAACACCAAAGTTGTCTAGCATGATTTTAGAGAGAGAAAACGGGTAGAAATATTAGAGAGAGTAAGAGATGAGTAAAAGAATAAAATGTCGAAAACAAACCTCTATTTATAGTGTGACAAGTAGTGGTTTAAAAAACAGATCGGTGCCCACGATCAAGCGTCCCAAAAACCCATCCGGATCGGTGAATTGGCGATTCGGATCGGGAATTGGTTGAATCGGTAGAATTCAGCCTTAAAAAAATCCAAAAAGATGATTAAAATTTATTATAAATGTTGTTTTTTAGGAATCCAATAAGAAATGAGAGTACTCCATTGAGAGCTTTCAGTTTTTTGTATCAATATGAATATTAATTTGTTCTTTTCATATATGAACTACTGTTAACCATTAAATTTATATCGCACAAAAGGAAGAATTATAGAAGTATCATGGATGAAGTATATCATCATATAGGGACTACAATAAAGCATACAATTCGTAAAATACGACCGAATATCAAAATAAAAGATGATGTCGGTTTTCATCTTGGTTACGCTGGTATCATTGATTGAATTCGCGTGACAATCCATTGACTCAATCTACGAACGAATCATCCAAATTAGTGGGTACCTAACTATACCCAAATCCATGAGTATTAGTGTTTGTTTGCGTTCCTAATCCAAAATCTCATATGCTTGTCCATCCTTCATGCTCATATTATTTTAATGTTCTAACATTATATATAACTATACCCAAATCCCTGAGTGTTAGTATTTTGTTGTGCTCCTAATCCAAAATACCCGACGCTTGTCCATCCTTCATGCTCACCTTATTTTAATGTTATAATAATATATATATATATATATATAGGAAAATGCTTAGGTGTTTTGTGAGCCGAACGGTTCAGATTTAGTTAACTTAAATGGACGGCTCGCGTAGCTTTTGGGGGTTCAAAATTTAAAACTAGGGTGTCAGCGAGAAAGCCATTCGGCCTACCAGTAGCCCTACGAAACCTCTCTCTTCTGCATGTGAAACCTCTCTCCTTCTCTCTTCTGCGAAAATAGGAAAACATCTCTCCCTCTCTCTCTACGCGAAACCCTCTTTTGAGGCAAAATCTAGACTCTCCCTCTCTCTCTCTCTCTCCCCTGTGAAACCATCTTTTGCTTTGGCCTGTTTGAAAGCCACAAAGAACCAGCTCTACGAGCAACAACAACCAACAAGACAACAAGCAACATTCTCTCTCTCTCCTACTCTTCTTAAAAAAACAGCCTTACAAGCATCAATGACCAGCAAGGTGAATGAGGCAAGGCTCTCTGTCTCTCTAACTAGGGCAACAAGACAAGGATGGGAGGGTGTTCCTCTATCTCTCTCCACGGAGCACAACAAAGGTATGGATTATGCTGCAAATTTCATTGCTTATAGTGCTTTCAAATTAGGGCTTTTTGTTTTTTTGACTTCACAAAAGAGCTTTCTATCAGTGGCTTTCAAATTAGGGCCTTTTTTTTTTTCAATTCACAAAAGTGTTTTGTTATTGTATCAATGGCTTTCGAATTAGGGCTTTTTTGGAATGTTGTTATCTCTCAATTTTTTATCTAACCTATTGTGAGAGTGAAAAGAAGTAAATTTTGATGTTAATTGTTGACTTAAGATGCGATTAAGGTCCAAAATAATTTGTTTTAAATTTTGTAGCACATTTCAATTTGTCAGATTTACCAAAGATTGTTTGTGATTTCTTTTCTACCAAAAGTTAATGTTCTTAAAGTATTTATAGATCAAACTTGATAAAAACAATCAAATATTAGTTTTGAGCTATTTTAAACCGAACATGGTTTTGCTTGGGACCTAATGATCCGAGGAACCACTGGTAGTTAGCTATTCGACCAGTCGGTTCGTGCGGTTTGATTCAGTCTTGATAACCATGCAAGATGAGGAACTTACTGACTTAGGTATATGTTGAGGGAAATTTATGTACATATCATGATAAATTTATGGAATTACCCTTCGTGCATAATTTTTGAAATCTTACAATGATGCCATTCTTCTTTTTTCTTTGTTTTAGTTTTGCTATTGGTTTGATGTTGCCATCTATTTTTCTCTAATATCCAGGGCAGTCCAATACCCTAATTATTGGATGGGCCAATTTCTTAGGCGGTGATCCCATATTGGACACAACAAACTACTTTAATATTCTATGTAGTGAGTTTTGAAAGGGGGCCATCCGAGGTTTGCAACAATGAACTACTTTTAAAATATAAGACGAATAAAAAAAATGGGTATTCTGATATTAGTAACATTCAACCACCCAATAATTAGAATTTTTGGTTTGTTAATGGTTCAAACATGGTGGAATTGATGTTGCTTTGTGAAGTCATACAATTTGGAGTCATAATTGATTTCTTTTCATTACGTTTGTTTCCTTTAATCATGAAGCTTTTTGTTTTCTTAATGGTTCAAATAGGGTAGAATTGATGTTGCTCTCTGAAGTCATACAATTTGGAGTCATAATGGATTTTTTTTCATTAGGTTTGTTTCCTTTCAATCATCAAGTATTTTTGTCTGTTAATGGTTCAAACAGGGTGGAATTGATGTTGCTTTTTGAATGGTTTGTTATTTTCTAAGTGAGAGCTTTTTGTTCATTAGTATGCTCATTGAATTTAAAATTCGGTGTTCAATGAGATGGAAACCAGTAAACATAATTAGTGTTTAAACTAGTGATTATAGATTGGACCTGAAATAAAATGTGTTTTGTGTAGGATAATTATATTATCTAAGATGGACATCACCATTTCAAAAAGTGTGACACCACCCATACTGTCAGACAATGACAACGTGGGAGATAATGTTCACCCATAGAGATTGATCCCTTGCTTGCAACCCCGTCCCCCAATAAGTTCACAAATCCCGAAAATGGGGAATGTGCATCCTCATCTAAGGGGTCAGAAATAGAGGAACCCCGCATATGAATGATATTTAGTATTGAAAATGATGCATATGAGTTTTACAAGGCTTATGCATTGGTACATTGGTTTGGTATTAGAAAGGGAAGTACTTACAACAATAAGGACGGACAAAGAATTGATAGGGAATATAAATGTTCAAAAGAAGGATTATGCAAGGAGAAAGAAGTGTTACGTAAGAAAAATTGTCTTTAGACAAGGTGTGGTTGTGCAACGAAGATGTCAATAACCATAAATGCCAACAATGAGTGGGTTGTTTCAAGGTTTGAACACAATCACGACCTTGTAACTCCAAGGAAAGCTCGACTCATCCGATCGCATCGAACAATAAAGCTCGACTCATCCGATCGCATCGAATCATATCAGATGCGATAAAGACAATGATAAACTCCATGAGCTCTGCTTTGATAAAGTCTTGGAATATGAAGAAATTTCAAAGGGGAAGATGACAATCGTGCAATGGAATAGTTAATCGATATGAAAAGATCGAATCCATCTTTTTTCTATAAGGTGAAATTAGATGAAGAAAATCATATTGTCAGCCTGCTATGGGTAGATGTCATGTCAAGGGTGTTCTACAACTACTTCTCAGATGTGGTTACTTTTGATACCACATATAAGACAAACTCTTTTAGCATGTCCTTTGCTCCCATACTTGGCGTGAATCACCACTTTAGCACAATATTTTTTGGGTTTGCACTTTTATTTGATGAGAAAGTGGAGTCCTTTGTATGGGTATTTGAAAATTGGCTAGAGGCAATGGGTGGACGCCAACCGGGCATAATTATCACTGATCAAGATCCTGCGATGACCGCTGCAGTGAGACAAGTTTTGAATAGAAGCAGACATCATTATTGTAAGTGGCACATACTTTCAAAGGTTAAAGAAAAATTGTGCCATATCTTGCGAAGGAGTCCATCTTTTATAGAAATATTCAAGAACTGTATAATGAGACCAACTAAGAAAGAATTTGAGTCAGAATGAAAATCTCTTATTGAGAAATATGATATTCATCAGAATGAATGGTTCAATAGATTATACAGATGTCGAAAGCAATGGATTGATGCATACATGGCAGATGCATTCATAGCCGGTATGTCATCGACTCAAAGAAGCGAAGAAATGAATAAGCATTTCAAATATTACGTGACTTCCAATACAAGCTTGCGCACATTGTTAGAAACTTTTGTAAAAGTGTGTGATAAAAAACTTCTTAAGATGAGAGAAAATGACTTAAAGAACAACACAAGTATGCCTGTTTTGAGGACCACATGTGACATCGAGGCTCACGTTTCGAAAATATATACACACAAAATTATGAAGTTGTTTAGTGAAGAAGTTGCAGAAGGCGTCAATTACACAAGTGAAATTATTGAAGAGAATGGCACAATCGCAATCTTCAAGGTATCAAAACGTGGAACTGGAGCAAGGGCCTACAATGTAGAGTTCAATTGTCACGAGCAAACTTTTTCATGTTCTTGCCACATGTATGAGAGGCTAGGTATTATTTGTAAGCATGGGATTAGGGTTTTGATGGTGACGAATATCTTTGAAATCCCATCGCATTACATAATGAAGAGGTGGACCAAGGATGTGATGGCAGGTGTTGTACTTGATGCCAACGGGAAACAAATTCACGGTACTTCTGATCTACCTTGTTCCATTCGTTTTAATGAGGTTAGTCAAGCCACTAGAGTACTCGCAGAGCATGCTGCAGACTTTGGACAACTCCACGCATTTATAATATCTGAGGTAGCATGTACAGTTGCAAGGGTTGAGGCCAAGATTTGGGAGGTCGTAGATCCAGACGGTGGTATTAGAACCATTTCCTGCAGTCATGCTGAGAATTTGATTGCTGGTAGTAGCAAAAACGTTGAGTTTGAGGGACATGCACGCCATAACATCCTTGAGCCCCCCCGAGCACGAACAAAGGGGAGACCTACCAATGATAGATATGTATCTCGGGCTGAAATAGAGGCAGAGAAAGCGAAAGCAAAAGACAAGGAAGTTATGCGAAAGTGCGCAACTTGAAAAGGGAGAGGACATGATAGAAGAAAATGTTCATCTCTCATACGTTCAAAGTATGAGTAAACTGTTGCTCCATCTTTCGTACTTTTTGTGATTTTTTTTTTCCTTTCCTTTGTGATTTTAATATGAATTCTTTATTCTTAAATATTTGAAAGAGGTTTTTTTCGTTTAGGTCAAATGTCATTATAAGATGCATAGAGGGTCATTGGAGTATGTGGAACATGATGAGTAATGGTTAGCATTTTAGTGTTTTTGCATTGTACTCAATAAACAAGTCCTTTAATTGATTTGAAATTTTATGCATGTGTGGTTGTTAATGCAGTATTGTATATGTTAATGATATATTAATTGTTTTACATACTCTAGTCAAATAATATCTTTAGTGAAATAGTTGATTGATATTCATTGTGGTAATATTCATCTTAGCATTACTGACATCCCTATATGACTTTGAGTTTTTCTTTTCAGTTTGAAAGTGCGCCAAATCCAAAGCTTCTTGGACACCTTCTGATGGAACAATATCAGGTGTGCCTCAGGTTTACCTATCAAATCTCTTCTTTAGGGATTTAGTCCTAAAGAAGAGAAACTTAATAATCTATATAGTCCCTCGTACTGATCTATATGTTGCATTTAATTTCAGCCTTTCTAACTATTCTCTTTCTTTTGCTATCTTTTTTTTCACCTTTAGTTTCTAATAAAATTTATTGCAAAATACATTTGATCAACTGTTCAGCTACCCAACACCATGAAAAGACTAGTTTTAGCTCTCAAGGACTTCTTGTGCTAATGGCAAGAACTTACTGTGGTTCTTTTCTTTCTGTCACCGTAGTTATGGAAGGGAGAGAGATATTTGCAATTTTATTGAGTTGCTCGATTGTTTGAGATAGTTTGCTAGAATGCTTTGGGTACTTGGCTACCTATTACATTAGGATTGAACTTTGACAAAACTGTTTGGTGAATGTGATGCACAAAATCACGAGTGGTATGTGCTCATTGCTCTCACTCTTAGTTCTACATATATTGCAATTGTTGTCCAATTGGAGACTCCATCTTTGGATCCTATCATTAGTGATAAGCCTATTTTAGTAGGGCTCTTCCATATGGCCTTTAGAAAATGATTTCTAATCCCATTTTCTCTAATTGCATTGTGTGAAATTATATTGCATTCTACTGCTGTCCCTTGTTATCTATTTCTCTTTATGGCCAGGTTGCAACCTCAAGAAGCACAGAAGGCAATGATTGAAATCAAGAAGCAGAATGTTGTTTTTGATGCGAAAGTTTTAAGTTCACAAGATTTGGTTACAATATATATGTACTTATAATGGCTTTGTAATGGTTCGTCTTTGAATTTCACTCTCTTAGAGCTTCAAAATGTTTGAAGGCTTCTTATAATGGCTTGACTTTGAATTTCTATCATTGGGTTGGTTTGTTCCCAATGCTAATTTGCTATTGCACAGCAAGCATAAGTTCTTGGCAAGCATAAGTTCTTGTTGGTCATCCCATCTTCGATTTAGGTTATCCTTTATACCATATACCACTCAATCATTGGTTTACTTGTCTATTTCCACTTATGATCCCTAAATGAATCCATTCTAACTTTTCTTTCAATTTCTGAATTCATGTCAATTGAAAGATTTTCAGCTACAAAACAATTGCTGAAAACACATGGTCACCTTCAAGAAATACAGAGACAGGGGCCCTCTATTTTTCTCATTATCTTTAGAGATAAATTATAGATGCTTGAACCCTCGCTAGCTATCAACGCACAATAAAAAATCAATACATAATGTCCTTGAGATAATATCCTTGAATTGGAATTGCATGGAAAATAACAGTTGTTTACATTACCAAAAGAACCCTTTTGTTACTTTCAACTACAACATTTTCCCTAAAAGGAGAATAAGTTGAATTCCATGATGGAATAATTATATTAGTAAAAAGGCAACCCTTAGTAAAAAAAACAATTCCAAGTCAGAAAGTATCACATGTTTCTAATGAGGAATATCAAAATAAACAAGATGAGTGCAAGCAAGCCACATTTATTATACACAAAAAATACAAAAATTGTTGCAAACGCCCAAAGGCACCGAGTAAAAATTGATGCATGCACCCTATGGCAACGAGTATTGCATCATACCCAACACTTGTTTCTTGATTGAGCATGACACGTTCTTCTGATTCTTGTACTGGATTCCACTGTCGTGTATTGCGATATCTTAAATTGACATTTTTCACGGCAACAATATATTCATCACACCATTGGAAAAACCACATATGAGATATCTATAGTACAGCCTGTTCCGGTTATTTTGGCTTCTTAATGCCATCTTAGCACAATCTATACTGCACCTTGGGCATCGTCGAGTTGTATATCCTCGATTACTTATAGAATCAGATGACATTGTTAGGGCCTACAATAATCGTATCAGTACCACACTCTGAAGGTCTAAATAAGTACGGATTTCAAACACATCATAGCATTCATTGCAAATATGTCAATAATAATCTTAACAATAGCCACGACAACAACAACAATCATCACCACCTCTATCATGAAGCCTAGAACACTCCACAGAGCAACATTAATTCCACCATGTTTGAACCATTAACAAACCAATATTCTTGATGATTGAAAGGAAACAAACCTAACCAACAAAAAGCAATCACTAATCAAAGCAACATTAATAGATGCCACCCGAGTTTTAATTTTTTCTTTTTGCCAAATTATGACTTCACATAGCAACATCAATTCCACCCAGTTTGAACCATTAACAAACTAAAAGCTTCATGATTGAAAGGAAACAAACCTAATGGAAAAAAATCAATCACTTAACATAGCAACATCAATGGATGCCATTCGAGTATTTCAAAAAAAAAATTCTCCAATTTATGACTTCACAGAGCACCATTAGTTCCATCCAGTTTGAACCATTAACAGACCAAAAAGCTTCATGATTGAAAGGAAATAAACCTAATGAAAAAAATTCAAACACATAATAGAGCAACATCAATGGATGCCATTCGAGTATTTAAAAAAAAAAAATCTCCAAGTTATGACTTCAGAGAGCAACATCAGTTCCACCCTGTTTGAACCATTAATAGACCAAAAAGCATCATGATTGTAAGGAAACAAACCTAATGAAAAAAATCAATCACTTAACATAACAACATCAACAGATGCCATTCGAGTATTTTAAAAAAAAATTCTCCAAATTATAACTTCACAGAGCAACATCAAATCTAGCCTGTATGAACCACTAACATACCCAAAAGCTTCGTGATTGAAAGGAAACAAACCTAATGAAAAAAAATCAATCATTTAATAGAGCAACATTGGATGCCATTGGAGTATTTAAAAAAGAAAAATTTTCCAAATTATAACTTCACAGTGCAACATCAGTTCCACCCTATTTGAACCATTAACAAACCAAAAAGCTTCATGATTGAAAGGAAACAAACCTAATGAAAAAAAATCAATCACTTAACAGAGCAACATCAATGGATTCCATTGGAGTATTTTTAAAAAAAAAATTCTTCAAATTATGACGTCACAGAGCAACATCAGTTCTATCCTGTTTGAACCATTAACAAACCAAAACGCTTCATGATTGAAAGGAAACAAACCTAATGAAAAAAAATCAATCACTTAGCATAACAACATTAATGGATGCCATTCGAGTATTTTTTAAAAAAAATTCTCCAAATTATGACTTCACGGAGCAACATCATTTCTACCCTGTTTGAACCATTAACAGACAAAAAAGCATCATAATTGAATGGAAACAAACCTAATGAAAAAAAATCAATCACTTAATAGAGCAATATCAAATGCCGTTGGAGTATTTAAAAAAGAAAATTCTCCAAATTTTGACTTCACAGCAAAATGGTGTCCCATTTTCTTATGAGAAGGAATTTTCACCAGAATCACAGTAATCCAAAAACTATAACGAGGCTAAGATATCTCATGCCAACAAGTAATAATAATAATAATAAATACTACTAAATATGAGATATAACAAATATGTTTCAAGGAATCAAATCAATTCTTTTTTTTATTTTTCATTTGAAAGCCACAAACATGAAGATGCGAATCGCATCTTAAATCAACCCAAATTTGCTTCTTTTCACTCTTACAATAGGTTAGATAAAAAATTTAGAAAACATAACATTCCGAAAAAGCCCTAATTTGAAGGCCACTGATATAATAACAAAGCTCTTCTGTGAATTGAAAAAAAAAAAGGCCCTAATTTGAAAGCCACTGATACAAAGCTCTTCTATGAAGTAAAAAAAAAAAAAGCCCTAATTTGAAAGCATTATAAGCATCGAAGCTTGAAGCATAATCTATACCTTTGTTGTGCTATCTGGAGAGAGATAGAGGAACACCCTCCAATCGTTGTCTCGTTGCCCTTGTGATGGAGATAGAGAGGCTTGCCTCGTTCAGCTTGCCGGTCATTGATGCTCGCAGGGCTGGTTTTTTGAGAAGAGCAGGAGAGAGAGAGAGAGAGAATGTTGCTTGTTGTCTTGCTGGTTGCTGCTACTTGCAGGGCTGGTTCTTTGTAGCTTTCAAACAGGCTGAAGCAAAAGAGGGTTTCGCAGGGGAGAAAGAGAGAGAGAGAGAGAGAGAGGAGG